AAAAAAGAGCGTAACTTGCATGAGTTTCCGTGACAGATACGCTTGTTCTGTGGCCACGCCAACGAGTGACGTGGTGACAAAGTGACGAGTGGCAGGCCGGCCAGGGTGCTGCTGGCCACGGAAAATTGGCGGCATTGTTGGAAACGCGCTCTAAATAAATATCGGCACAGCCAGGTAGAAGCGCGAAGTCTCATTTGTAACAGTTCGTTCGGCTGGCCCACCTTTCACGTATGCATCCGAATCTTCGCCTTGCCGATCACGTGGACAGCAGAGATGAAAGGAACCGAAAATGCTCGAGTTTGTGTCTTGTGTTTGAGTAAAGTTTTCGAACACACTTTTGGGTTGCTGTGGAAGCAGCTGAGCGGCTTCTTGGTTCCCTCAGCAAGTATTCTGAGCACATGTTGTCTAAAGTGCTTCCCTAGATGGCATCATCGCCAACGGTCAAAGTTACATAGATGACGCGGCGTGCCCACTGATATCGTTTTTAATGAACACGTGACGAGAATTTGACACAAAGGACCTTGTCAAATGCATGCCGTGGGTTGATGCAAATCGTGGGTAAATTAAATCAATTTCATCTCACCATATCAAAGTTCAAGAAGGTTTGGGAAGCCTAGCCATTTTTGTGTGCCTTGGGGCTGGTCTGGCTGGCTGGGTGTCGCCGCGGCGGTCCCCGGCGGGACTTCTCGGCCCATTGAGCGTCGAGCGGCGCAAGAGGTACCGACAGAGACGGACAGCTGCAAGCGTTGCAAGGGGCGCCTCACACTGTGCCGTGCCGGCCGTGCCCCCGCACCGCAAATAAATGGCCAGTTTGTTTTTTACCGGCGAGACACGGAGGAGAGAGAGAGAGAGAGAGAGGGGCGCGAAGGCAAGGCGGCTTCCGGTTGTAATGAGCGTCAAACGAACATGATTTCCAAATGTCAGCAACACGTGCAGACGACAGGCAAAAATGACGGCCATCCGTCACGTCGTCGGCGCGTCGTCCGCTAGACTCGGCGGCGTTCACACACACACACACACACACACACACACACACACACACACACAACCGAAAGGGGGAGGGGAATATCCAAGTGCAAAGTACACATTTTTGCAAAGCTCATACCGCCTCCTCAAACTCGCGCAAAAACAAAACGAAACGCACAGACTGTAGAAACTGGAGCGAGACACACAAAACGGGGTCATTTCCTGCAGGACCGACGAGAGACACCTTTCGTGTCTGCAGTTCGATGACCGCAGTGAGAGTGGAGCCAATGGCGCAGTCAAAGGTGCAACAAGGACAATGCCAAGTGCTCTCATTGTCGCGAACCCACTATCCCAATGGCCAAAGTCCGTCTGTCTACCCGGTGTCTGTCCACCAGAGTCCGTCCAGCAATCTCATTATTGGCACACTGTAATGATGGGCCATGAACCTGGGCAGAGTCGACGGCACACGCCCTCGGAGGGTGTCTCTCCGACACCCTTCCCTCTCCCTCCCCTCCAAGTGCTATTCCTTTATCTACGGCTAAGTCCCGTCCGTCTCCCCACGACCGTCTCTCTCGCTCCCACAAGTAAAACAGCACATAAATCTGTCAATACTTGAGTTATTGGTGACAAGAAGGCAGTTTGGCTTTTCCACTGGCAGATGCCTGTCTTTTCTCAGTCGGCCCCTCCCCGCCGTGTCTCTCCCCGTCTCCACCCCCCGGCCCCGGTCCCGGTTCGCCCCTCGCTGTTAGTCTTCACGCCTGCGAATTGCCGAAATAGAAGGGGAGGAAATGCGGCACCAAAAGGGCATTTTTTGACGATTCTTGAACCAAAGGGCGTTTTCGGCCATCGTAAAGAATGTGGGTGGCAGTGACAGGGTTCAGTCCAGTCCAGTGTCCATTCGTTACTTTCCCCAGCACTGGAACTAGGTCTCACCATTTCAATCGTCCCTCGAAAACGTCTTTCCGAATTTCCGTCACCGTCCGGCCGCGGCGTGAGTGGCGCGGCCCCATTCGACTGTTGTGCCGCGGGCAACGCGCCGTTCCGTAACGCACTGGGGATGAATGGAGCGGGGCGGGGCAGCGAGCGCGACCTAGCGGCCGGTCCGGGAACTAGCTCGAGCCGTCTCGGCTCGCCACGCCGCGCCACGCCGCGACGCGTCCCTGACCTCGCCACACCGCCCCCCTCCCCCAGCGCGTCAACAGGCCGCCTCGCCGCGCCGCCAACGCGCGCCATTTGACCGGGTTAAATTCGAACGCGTCAACTTTGGCGCCGGAAACGCTCGTCTGCCGAGGAGTATCGCCGCACAGTGGGCCAGAAGACCGGCGCTGGCGGCCGAGACTCCAGACGCGTTTTGAGCTCCAGAGTCGCTCAACAGGACTGGAACCGGACGTGTGACCCCACCAATGGATTCCTCGTTCGGAGAGCAATCTATTGGTGGGGTCACACGTTTTGTTCGAGTCCCATTTAGCGACTCTGGAGCTCAAAACGCGTCTAGAGTTTTGGCCGCCTCCGCCGGCCTTCTGGCCCACTGTGTCGCACCTGGTGGCGGCCTGGCGGCGCCGCGCGGCGTGTCTGCTGTCCGACAGGCCTGACACCGCCACGGCGTGCCACGCCACGCACGCATGCCACGCCGGGGATCATGCGAGGCGCTAGCGCCAGATGGAATGTCTATCAGGCATGAATTATGGCGCCCGCAAAATAGCAGGGCGTAGCGGGGCCAACCAACCTGTTCGGGGGGCGGCGGGGGCGTGTGGGGGCGGCGGGGGCGGCAGCTGTCAGCCCGGCGGCACAGTGAGGCATTCCGCAAAGGGCCACGCCGTGCCGTGCCGCGTCGCTCAGCGAGGTGGCCGACCAGCTCCACCAATCAGCGGGCCGGGCGCCCCTCTTGGCGGCAGTTTTGAAACGCGCGGCCGCGCCGCCGTTTGGCCGTAGGGTGGCGGTGGCCTTTTGCTCGCTTACAGTGCGGTGACGCTTCCAACGTCTCAGCGGGTGTTGCTCGTCAGGCCGGGCAAACTGAGAGTCGCTCCGTCTCTCTCGCACTGCACGGGACGCCGCATGAGTGCGAGAGAGACAGAGCGATGGTCTCGGAATCAGTCTGCAGGGCACGCCTACCGCCCGGCCGGGACCGACTCGCATCATTATTATTACTGTTATTGCAACGAGCGGCTATTCGTTAGGTTGGTATGTCACTGCGCGTCCCGCCGTGCCGCCCCGCCGTCGCCGAGCCGGGGCGTCCCGGAGGCGTGGCGTCAGCGGGGACGATCGGGGACGCCTCACGCACAGTGGGCCAGAAGACCGGTGGAGGCGGCCAAAACTCTGACCTCCAGAGTCGATAAATGGGACCGAACGTGTGACCCCACCAATGGATTGCCCTCCGAACGAGGAGTCCATTGGTGGGGTCACACGTTCGGTTGGAGTACCATTTACTTGTTCTTCCCTTCGGCCGCGAGCCACAAGCCACAAGCCCCACTGCATACGGATCACTCCAGGGCAGTCAGTCATCGACGCGGGGGAGGACGATGGGATTGCCCGCTGACACCGCATCGCATACCCGGCGGCGTGCTGTCCGGAGGTTCGATCTCTCGAAGAGGAGCGGAAAAATTTATAGACCCCCGCGCATCCGTGACGCAAACTCTTTAAATCACATCGCATACTGGTTTGCCGCTTTGCCGCTCACACACCGCGAGACGTCTCCCATCAAGCTGCCTCGCTGTGCCGCGGGACCGGGCGGCGGGACGGACGGACGGATATAGGAGGGAAGGCCTTGCCAACCTGCCAGCCAGTTCAATTCGTTATTTCAGTTTTATGTGGCCTGAAACTGATCCCCGGGCCCAGCTAATGGAGAGCACGCATGTAGCAGTACGTGATGCCCCCTGCACTCACACTCACACTCACACACACTCACACTCTCACACACTCACACTCACACACTCACACACTCACACACACACACACTCAGACACACACACACACACACACACACACACACTCGCGCGGCGCTACTGTGGTATAAATCATAATAATTGTAGTTTCCAAAGAGTGACGTGGCGGGTGACTCATGGGGCCAATGGCAGAAACACATCACGGACGGCGTGTGGCGACGCGGCCAAGGAAAAAGGGAGAAGGAGGAGGAGGGGGCTTACTTTAATAATGGCGACATTTAATGTCATGACGGAGTAATGGCACTGGTAATGAAGCATTCTTGCACACACACACACACTCACACACGCACACGCACGGACGGGCCAGCAGACGAAAGGCCGCCCCGAGGCGATTTCTGCTCTATAATGTGGTGAAAACAACTTGAACATTTCGCCCAGACGTCGTCATCCCCCTCCCCCACTCCCAGAAACACGGAAAAAAGAAAAGAAAACAAGCGACCGTTGTGTGTTTCTGACGACTGCCGGGCAGAGGGCGCGCCGCAGCAGACGCGGCGGGTCTGACAAGCGACTGACAGGTGGACGGCCGGCCATCGAGCATCGCCCAGTGCGTGCGCAGCACACACACACACACACACACACACACACACACACAAAAGGAGCCGCATTGGCTGCAGCTTAAAGTCAATCAGTCGTCCGCGTCGAGTCGGCATGGCCGAGGCATGGCCGCCCTGCCCCGCCATTGGCTGCCGTCCCGCCTTCCATCACGTCAGCCGTAATGGGGTTCGCTCCATTAATTAATGATTTTATATTTACGAATCGTACATACCTCGTCAAGAGGAGCGCACAGCCCTGCGCGAAAGCAACCCGGGTGGGGTTAACGGTCATCAAGCCGGGCAGATGCTCGGTTTCCGAACCGGGGTTGATGATCTTTACTCTTCGTTTTCTGGTCAGGGTATGGAGCAAAGAGCATCAACTCGGGTTGGGTTCGGTTATAGTGATGGAACCGAGCATCAACACAGGTTGGATATAATAAGAGCATCAACCCATACCCATCCGTCCGGTCACGACCCAGGACCCAGTGTGCAAAATCCAGGGTCTCAGATCTATAGGGCCTTAAATGCAGGGCCTAGGGTCTAAGGGTCTTAAGTCCAGGGTCCAAAAACTAAGGGCCCAAAATCCAAGGGTTCAAAATCCAAGGGTTCAAAATCCAAGGGTCCAAAATCCAAGGGTCCAAAATTCAAGGGTCCAAAATCCAAGGGTCCAAAACCCAAGGGTCCAAAACTCAAGGGTCCAAAACCCAAGGGTCCAAAATCCAAGGGTCCAAAATCCAAGGGTCCAAAATCCAAGGAACAAAATCCAAGGGATCGAAATCCAAGGGTCCAAAATCCAGGGTCCCAAATCCAGCGTCTGGGATTCGAGGTACGGAATCCAGGGTCGCCGCAAGACGCACCCACGCCGAGTGAGTTGCTCCTTTGAGACAGGACTGCAGGGGCGCGGTTCCCTGCTGCTGGGAGGCACAGCGAGGCGGTGCCTGGCGGTGCCAGCGGTGCCACCGTGTGGAATGCCTGCGTGATTAATGGTGATGGAGTCTGTTTCGGTGATTGGTGACGCGGACCTACACTGCGATGGCTGCGCTGGCGGCATGGCGGCGCGTCAGCTGCCCCGGCGGCTAAGTGCTGCCGGCGATAAGGAACTGAAGGGCCAGGGCCTTGCCCAGGGCCGCGGCCACCCAGCCCTGCAGACTCATTCCGAGAGTCGTCGCTCTGTCTCTCTCGCGCCGATACGGGACGTGCCATGAGTGCGAGAGAGACAGAGCGACGAAAACGACTCTCGGAATCAGTCTGCTGGTTGCTTGACCTGCCCCTGGGAGGTAGGCACGGCGGCTGCTGGGCATGGAGAGTCGCCTCTGTCGCACTCACGGGGCCCTCCATACGGGTGCGAGAGAGACAGAGCGACTAACCGATTTTCCGAATGGCTCGGCTGCCGGTGACGGACCGCGCCTCCCACATCGAGACCAGCCTGCAGGCTGCATGCAGCACGCCCCCGCCAATGCGTCTCTCTCGCACCCACGCGGGGCGCCCCGCGAGTGCGAGAGAGAGGGGGGGCTCTGAATCAGTCGGACTCATCCTGGAAATAAAAGGTGGAACTCATACGCATAGCACTGCAAAGGGGCCCAAAGGGTCCAGGGCCTATAAATTTGACCGGGAAGGCGTTCGTCAAAGGCGAGGCCCCGGGGGCGGGCCGCGTGGCTGTGTGGCCCGGGGCCGCCGTGGGGGCGCCCTGCCGAGCGCTCTGTCTCTCTCGCACCCTCACGGGGAGCCCCGCGAGTGCGACAGAGACAGAGCGACGGCAGGAACCGCTGGCCAGCGGCCAGGCGACAATCACACGCATGCAGAGCCCTGTGCGCTGTGCTGCGCTGTGCGCCGCGCCGCGCTGTAAGCCGTGATATGTGCCGGGCGCTTCATAGACCACTGCAGCCAACCTCAAAACATTTTAAAAATTTAAAAATTAAAAAAAAAAATTATAAGTATTTGGCTGCGGCGGCGGTGATCACGTGATCACACCCAGAGGTTGAACAACGTCGACTGCCCTCTGCTTTTCTTTGTAAGGCCTACAATAGTTTGTAAGGTTTTCTCAGTGAAGGGAACCGGGCGTGTGGTCCGAGCGACAGGTCGCCATTTTGTCCACCGTTTCCGAACGGACGCGAGCCTTCGCTGTTCGGTCCACTCTTTAATTCCAGTCGTAGACGCGTCTGATCCCATCTCCACCGATTTGTGATTAATGTGGGAGCAGCCCTCCCACTTTGGCCCTGGGTGGCGGGGCGTGGCGGGGCGTGGCGGGGCGTGGCGGGGCGTGGCGGGGCGTGGCGGGGCGTGGCGGGGCGTGGCGGGGCGTGGCGGGGCGTGGCGGGGCGTGGCGGGGCGTGGCGGGGCGTGGCGGGGCGTGGCGAGGCGTGGCGGGGCGTGGCGGGGCCGGCCCGTCAGAAGCACGCCATCCAGGTGTGAAATTCAAACGCGAGCCAAGAAATAATAAAAATATGAAAGTTATGATCCGATCCGTTTCCCTCCCCCGATTTTGTTCTGAAAGCTTTTGTTTTGCGCCCCACGCAAGCGTGGGCGGAACCTACAGCAACGGCCTGGCAGCCATTCGGACGCCATTGGGTGCACTCTAATCTGGATACGCCTTGAAAGCCCCCGATTCCTCCATAGACCACTCCACTAGATAATCATCTGTATCCACACCGTGAAAACCACGCCGAAGTGACGGCCGGCGTGTCCGCCATAGTGTCCGACACGTGTTAGCGTGGGCGCGCTCTAACGGCGACATCCCCGGGCAGCTGCCGTCGCTCCGTCTCTCTCGCTCCCCCGCGGCGCCGGCGGGACGCCTGCGGGACGCCCCGCGAGTGCGAGAGAGACAGAGCGCCGCGATGTAAATAAGACGGCGCGTGATGGCTCCGTCGACACCTCCGCGGGCCTTCATAAATACCGCAGGTTGTCACGGCGGAGGCACGGCCGGGAAAAATTACAAACGCGCCAACCGCTAAACGCGCGCGCGGTCGACCAAAAACAAAATATGCGAAAATAAAAATGAGAGACACACCACGTTACGTTATTTCTGGACGACGCGGCATGTCGACCCACTTTTCAAAATAGTCGAAAGTTCCCACGATGCACCAGTGCCACACAGAGTCGTTCTCCTGACCCGCAGAGAAGGGGAACTTTTGGCGGGAACTGCGACAACCCGGAGGGCGAAGGGTTGCCTACCCGGCGGCGCCAAGGCGCCTAGTCAGTGGCATCGCAAAGGTGGCGCTCCTGTAGCTGGTGAGGACGGCCATTGCCCCGGACCGTCGCGGATCCACTTGCCATACATAATGTCAATAAACGCCACCGGCGCGCTGCTCGCAGCCCGCCATCGCCCCGCCATCGCCCCGCCATCGCCCCGCCGCCCGTTTGGCCGCCCGCCAAATGTTTGATTGTCAAGAAGGACTGGACTGCAGTGTCGAACCGACGGATGGGCCGCAGGCAGGCGGGCAGGCAGGCAGGCAGGCAGGCAGGCAGGCGGGCAGACGGACAGAGTCAGACGCACAAACAGCGACATGATTGGCCGTGACGTCCGCGCCGGGCTTTTAGCGTTTGGCTCTGGACGGTCGTAAATTTGGCGATCACCTCCCCGGGCAGGCCGTGCTGGCCGCCGTGCTGGCCGCCGTGCTGGCCGAGCCGGCCGTGGAGGGACAACCCCGCGCCGTCCGTCAGCGAACGTCCGGGCCACGGACTTTCTGCCCTGCCGCTGGGGCTGGAGCTCACGGCAAAGGCTGAGGTTGAGGTCGCAGGATTCATTGCAAGGGCGGATCCAGAATCGGCCTGAGGGAGGGGAAAAGCAAAGCACACGGCGAAATCAGCTCCTGGGATTTCCAGGGGGCTCCTGGAAAATAGACACCTCCTGCCCCCCACCCTCTCTCTCTCTCTCTCTAAGCCCCAAAATGACGGAGTGCGGCCCGTCAAAATTACCCCCGCCGCTGATTGCCTCTCTTCTTCTCGCCGTGCCATCATTATGCGCGCCCAGATAAAATTTTATTAGTGTGCATGTAATTATTGCAGCGCTGCTACCCATCGCGTACGTACGTGTGCGCGCGCACACACACAAACACACACACACACACACACACAGAGAGAGAGAGAGAGAGAGAGAGAGAGAGAGAGAGAGAGAGAGAGAGAGCTTATCTCAAACCGAAAAGCTTACATCTTTAAATCGAGACCCATTAAAATGGAGTATAGTTATTCGCATAGAAAAAGTTTAGCGCACAACAGTTCCCCCCGTGAGTAAAGTACGTGATTACTTTCACAAAGTCTCGCTTCTGCATTACATCTGAGATGAATGGCATTACCTTTTTCGTGTGTGTTTGTGTGTGTGTGCATGTGTTTGTGTGTGTGTGTGTGTGTTTGTGTGTGTGTGTGTTTGTGTGTGTGTGTGTGTGTGTGTTGTGTGTGTGTGTGTGTGTGTGTGTGTGTGTGTGTGTGTGTCGGACGGGTCAACCCGTGCGAGGTGGCAGCAGGACGGCGATGCCTCCCGACGCCTCCTAATTAGGGAATGCCTTGTCAGCGCTGCGCTGCGACGCGCTGCCACGCCGCGGGATGAGAATTTCCGCACCCACTGGCCGAAGGAAGGGCGTCCCGGAGCCTTCAGTCCAGACGTGGAGTAATGGCCGACTTTGTTTCATTAGGGCGACCGATAAAGGACTCGCCGTTTGACACGGACTGCTCGAGCTGTTGGTCGAGCTGCTTGCCAAACTGCTGGCCAGGACTGTGGTTCAAAGAGGAGTGCTGATCAAACTAAACTGCTGGTCAATCTAAAGTGCTGGTCAAACTTAACTGCTGGCCAAACTGCTGTTCAAAGTGTTGGTCAAACTAAACTGCTGGCCAAACTGCTATTCAAAAGTGTTGGTCAAACTGTCGGTCAAACTGTTGGTCAACCTTTTGGTCAACCAGTTGGTTTCACTCAAATTTCTAAAATTTAAGATATACTCCCTCGGGCAATGCCAAGGTACAATTGGTAAAGCAGCCGGCCGAGCTGCTAGTTTTGTTGTTGTAGTCTCGAAAGAGTCCTCCGCGGCGAGCCTATTTTTCGGTGTCGTGTTCTGCCGGCCAAACCGTGCGCCGTGTCCACGCACTCGCATGACGCCTTGCGCGGAATCGCGGTCTAGAATCTCCGAGTTCGGTCGCCTCCGTTCCGCGGCGGCAGAGACAAGGACCCGAAACGACGGCATGATAGCCGCGAGCTTGTAGTCGGGCCGAAGCGCACCATCCCATAAAATGAGCTGCCCAAATGACTAATTGCGCCCTGTGTCGTCCGGGCCGCCGCCACGCCACGCCGCGCCGCGCCTGGACAACGCCAAGCAGCCCCAAATTAAAACGGGGACTTTTACAAATGGTGTAAAATCGGAGGCAGTTTGTGTGGCAGGCATTAGGCGACGGGAGACGGCCCGGAGACGTGCAGGACACACACGATCAAAAAAGGAAAAGAGAAGCAGCCATTCTGGAATTTCAACAACGAAACTGTTGGCAGCAGAAATTTAGGCCTGGCGCCTCCAAAAATGGGTTTGCAGGACTCGGCGCGAAATTGGAAAAGGCGTCCGCGGGAGATGTTTATGTAAAGCATAAAAGATATAAGGCCACTTACGCGGCAGTAAAGGGAGGAAGGGGCCGGCGTGGCTGGCGGCGTGGCTGGCGGCGTGCCAGGAGGCTGCCAGCGCCGGCTGGGCGGCTCGGGCCGGCCAGACCGAGCTGCCAGCCCACGGGCCTCAGCGTGTCAGTCCATCAAACGGTCGCCGTTTTCAGCCAATGCGACAGCTAGCGACTCCTGAAGCTCAAAACGCGCCTAGAGTTTTGGCCGCCTCCACCAAGGGGAAACTACTTTGAATT